AATTATTTTTTAAATTATGCATTAATAATACATTAAATCAATAAAAAAAACGTTACACACACTACCATGTATTTGACACGCATATGAATACTTCTATGTTTATTGTCAAACTTTTGTTAGTCTGTGAACAAATTGAGAATAGGTTAATATTGTTTATTTGTCTACAGTGTAGTCTTGGCGAAATCTGTAATTATAGAAGTATAATAATAGTCTTTAACAATAGAATCATAATAAAGTTCAAACTTATAATTTCAATTAATTATAGTCGAATTTCGACTACTGCGGAACCACTAGTAACGTATAAATTAGTAATGCACACAGTGTACGACTTAACTTTGTAATAACTGTTGTTGATTCTATTGATTTGACGCAAATGAGTCAATATTGTTGGTAAGATAACGTTAAACCAATTCATCGTTATTCAATCATCTTTCAATTCATTGTTATTCAACATTTCAATTTTCACGATTTTAACATTTTAATGTTCACGATTGACTTCCACGGTGAAGGAATAACATCGTGTAATAAAAATCAAACCCGCAAAATTATGATTTGCGTAATCACTGGTGATAGGACCTCTTGCGAGTCCGCACGGGTGGGTACCACCGCCCCGCCTATTTCCGCCGTGAAGCAGTAATGCGTTTCGGTTCGAAGGGTGGGGCAGCCGTTGTAACTATACTGAGACCTTAGAACTTATATCTCGAGGTGGGTGGCGCATTTACGTTGTAGATGTCTATGGGCTCCAGTAACTACTTAACACCAGGTGGGCTGTGAGCTCGTCCACCCATCTAAGCTATAAAAATAAAAATAAAAACATGTGTGGGCGGTCTTCCACGTGGTTCGTTCTTCAAATCAAAATTTCCATCACGAAAGCGTTAAAACAAAATCACACGGTGCGTTCATTAGTAGTCCCCTTTCCAAGAGCAACACTGATATTACGAGCTGTTTCTACAGCCTTAGTTCCGCGTCGGAACTCGTATTCAAAAATCCCTCGAATTTTTGAAGTATGCATCTTTCTTGTCTAAGCTGAATTAAAAAAAAGGGTGCGTGTACTTATTTACGCGCGTAAGAAGTTATACTTTTTTTTTTTAATTTAAATTTTTATCAATTGGAAAAAAAATCGATTAAACAACATCCTCGAACACGCATATTGGACATCCCTTTTCTTGACTTCGTATAAATTCGGTAATTCTCGGTACGGTTCGGAAAGTTCACCTGCGGCTATATTCAGACTCGCCAAGTTACGTCGGTCGTATTGTAATGAGCGATTTAGTGGGTAAATTCATTCTGTTAATTTTGTGTCACGGTGCGCGCGCATCGTATCTCATAAATTTTTCATAACGCGCCTAAAGAAGTATAACTTCAAAAACAACGAAAGTCGATAACGGAATGTTGCAAATTTTTTAAAGAAAATTCTCATAGGTACCATTTGAAAAAAGTTTCACTCAAAAATCTTAAGCCATGAAGGTTCTTCGTCAATTCGAAGTACCTATTACAATAAAACGGCAATTTTATACTTGAACCCCTACTAATAACTTTTATTGTTTTGTATAATTACACAACATAGTTCTGAGTGCTATTTCATTCCTTATTCATTTTTCATTATCTTCCATTTATTCCTTCCGGACGGGAATTCTGGGATTCGTTCCTGTAACTACGAACTCTATTGATCGATGTTTTTTTAATAGTACGAATGCTGTACGTGGACTGTCTGATCTGTTCCTGTCTCAAACAAAGTACCTTGTATGATGACCGATCAATAGCCAGCTACGGATGGATTGCATTTGGCTCCACCACCCACCACCCAACTACTACTGCCCACTTTCTGTACATATAGTGTTGTTACGGCATTCCGGTTCACTTTATCGCCCCGCTCCGTTTTAATATCATAAGAATATTTATTAACTTTTTTTTATTGCTTAGTTGGGTGGACGAGCTCACAGCCCACCTGGTGTTAAGTGGTTACTGGAGCCCATAGACATCTACAACGTAAATGCGCCACCCGCCTAGAGATATAAGTTCTAAGGTCTCAAGTATAGTTACAACGGCTGCCCCACTCTTCAAACCGAAACGCGTTACTGCTTCACGGCAGAAATAGGCAGGGCGGTGGTACCTACCCGTGCGGACTCACAATAGGCCCCACCACCAGTAACTACCACCAATAACTACCAAAGCGAGAAAGAGATTTAATCAAAGAACTGTGCCAGCACACGCACGGTCAGCCTGTGCGTTCATGTCATTGTGTGTCATTCAATCTCACAGATGATGACGGCGCGCGGGTGCGTGGGGTCGACTACTGGGGCTAGGACGAGATAAGCGATAATTAAACTGGATGAAAGTAGGTTGATAGCCACGAGCGATGATCCTTGCCACACATTCTACTTAACATGCTGGTCGTAGCCTGTGTGGAAACTTCATATTTTTAACGACCTAATTGCGACGGTGACTATAAAGCGGTCGAGGGCGGAGGTTGCGGGCTCAGGGAGGGGCGGTGCGGGGTGCGGGGTGTGGTTGTGTGGATTCAGTGCGAGCGCGGCCGCGGATAATTAGCATATTACGAGCACTCTGTCCACGCGATTCACTGCGTACGGAGAACCAGTATGACAACGAGCATGCCGAATATGGAATAATAGGAACAATGCTTTCAATGCTACCTTCGTTATTCCCGAAGAAAATCTTTTCGATTATTATATTATAATATTATTTTTCTACTTTGAAATTTTTTATTTATTAGAATTTTTTATTGAAGTGAAAACTTCTTTAGAATCGTTGTGATTTCAAACCGGATGCAACGGAAAAAACGACAGGTAAGAGACACAAATACAAAAATGTGTAGGATGAAGCCAGCAAAGAATGAGACAGAAATATACATACTATTTAATACAGCGCCATCTGTGAGATTTTTTAATACTAACGTGTGTATGAAAGCTCTAGTCGTGAATTTTAATTTAGGATTATACGTGAAATTAAAATATCAATTCACAGAGGGCGCTACCTTACAATTGTTTACTAATGACAAAATTTTACATATACTTAAGACGTTTAGGGTAATTGTATTTTAATTTTGGAAGGTTTCACTTCTACCACGTGTGAATTGCACACATGTATTTTTTTTTATTTCAATAACACAAGTGAAGTTGATTATAATTAAACTAGTGAAACTTATTCAAGGTCGGGCGTGGCTATTGCTGATAGTAGATAAAACATCGATTTCATGAAGCATAGATGTATGACAGAAAACTTCCTTTCAGTGCCAACCACGACTGTACCAAGGTCCATCACAAACACACGCTTTGAAGCCAAACATACAAACCGTCATTCGTTCTCTGACGAAAGACTGAAAGAGCTCTGCTCTTTTGCATTCGAATACAATAAAAAAATATACAGGTGTTTATGGGCTGGTTGTTTTAGTAATTTAAGTGTATGTATGATTAAAATAGTAGAGTCAACGGTAGAGTGCACATATTTGAACGTTTCCTGAAGTTCGTCAGCCGCCATGGACTGCTGTTGTCGAGCTCACGAGTCCACAATCACATGTACAGCGCCACTCTCGAACTGATTATTCTAGTAGAACGATATCTACAGTTTTCAGTTTGATGTGCCCTAGGTATACAAATGTATAATTATCGAATAAAAAAATGTCTTTCATTTTCGAACATATCTAAAGCACCGTAATTCGCTGATAATTTCATTCAACTGTATAAATTCAAGCAACGATGTCCGAGTCGTTCACACGAGAAACTGCCGTACTGATCACTATCTCACTGTGTGCATCCTGAATCCATTGTAACGTTCAATTACATGGAACACCCACAAGCATGAGGGCATACCATGTGTTGTAACATTGTTCCGTGTGTTGGAACAATAAAGAATTTAAGTTGTGCTGTAATAGTATGTACTTACAGTACGAGCGTTGTTTACAAGGATTCTGTTGGTGCTTTATATTAATATACATATGTCTAACGGCGCGTTGCATTATACAGTGATAGCGGGAATTTGTCAATGTCGTGTGGGGCTACGCAAGACCGAGTGAGTGCAACGGCGGAGGACAGCCGCCGGCGGCCAATACGTGGCAAAAACGACGAGAGGTTGACATTTACAAACTTGTACTGTGGGTTGTATCGCCAGATCAAGGTGTGATTAACTGTTGAATAATATGATCCAGCGCTTGTTTTGTTTCAGTAATTGTTAGAAACTCGGAATTATTACACAAAACCTACTGTAATGCTTGGCTATTCTCTTCGCCGGATGACCCGCGCCAGCCTGCGATGCGATGAAAAAGGAAACTCCTCTGTCCTTCTCTTCATATCTATATTTATTTGAAAGATATGATTAAAACTAAAGTACATGTAATGAGTTTACGTCTGTATTATGATAGAATCTATAGCCAAGCACGCAGCTAATTGTTTCTTAATGATTTGTTGCATGGGACAAGTCTGAGGGGCGCATAGTGTAGCTCTGTACCGCGCCTCTGTGAACGACTGTCCTTTGGAACTATATTTTGCGAGAAACCCCTATTCTACATATATTTATATTACAAGCCATTCAAGTCGTGGCCTAAAGGATAAGACGTCCGGTGCGTTCGTGTTGAACGATGCAACGGTGTTCGAATCTCAGACAGGTACCAATTTTTCTAATGAAATACGTACTCAACAAATGTTCACGATTGACTTCCACGATGAAGCAATAACATCGTGTAATAAAAATGAAACCCGCAAAATTATAATTTGCGTAATTACCACCACCCTGCCTATTTCTGCCGTGAAGCAGTAATGCGTTTCGGTTTGAAGGGTGAGGAACTATACTGAGACCTTAGAATTTATATCTCAAGGTGGGTGGCGCATTTACGTTGTAGGTATCTATGGGCTCCAGTAACCATTTAATACCAGGTGGGCTGTGAGCTCGTCCACCCATCTAAGCAATAAAAAAAGCTTACTTTTGTTAAAGTCTGATAATGAAGTGCCTCATGATATTGTTTGGGAATGCGAGTCAAGAAGATCTTAGTGGCGAAGGACGATACAGCTGCCATACAATATCGGCGGCATTCGTGGTCAATGAAACAAGGTGTATGTGGTAATCAGTTCATAGAACTAGGTGTTTATTGTAGAGTTCAACTGAAATGGAACAAGGGACGGGACAGATCGTCAATGGTACTAATATACATTCAAATGTACACACACATACATATGTACATACGACGTCACGGCGAGGAGACACGGGGGACGCTTCCACGGTCGGGGCCGTGCACTGGCTAACTACTGTGTATTTACACAACCAAATATATATAAAGTGGAGGATACGATATCGTACGAATAGGGCCCCGCGCCGACCGAGTCCACCTGTGATCTCCGCGCCACTGAGTCATCGGGAGGACGTCCTTTCGCGCGATCCGATTCACAACGAAACGAAATAAAAAGAAAATAAATTACACTAGTCGATTTCACTGAGCACTTCACGCGAATATCATGCGAACATCACACAATCACCGACCGACTCAAGACAGTCCGACGACAACGCGACGAGCAGTCGACGCGAGAGAGGACAAGGCGCTCCGTCACACCGTGGTCTCGCGGTCCACGTGGATGTACTCGACGGAGCGCTCGCGCCGTCAGGAGGATGCGGTCGACGAGGCTCGCGACGCGTCGTATAACAGCTCCTCCGTGAGGCGTCTTCCTGCCGCCAGCGCACCCAACAGCCGCTTGTCCGATACGGCGCGTCGTCGTCGGCGCACTAGCAGCGCTGCCAGCAAGAGCAGCGCGCCCCCTGCCGCACCCGCTGCGCCCGTCGCGCCGCTTGCGCCCAGCGCCGCTAGCAACCGCGCTCCCGCCCCGCACGCACCCCGCTCATCCGCACCACCCGGGCAGTCCTCCGCACCGTCGCACCAGAGTGCGCCCGGCATGCATGCGCCCAGCGGTCCGCACGCGTGCGCACACGAGCTGGCGTTCTGTCCGGCGCGCCATACCTCCATCCAGGCCAGCCGCGCGCTGCCAGCCTCGCGCGCCGCCCACACTACCAGCAGCGCTGCCGACCGTCCGCCGCGACCCCACCACTCCTCGGTAAACACCTGCACTGCCGCGCCCGACCCGCCCGGACAGATCACGCGCACCAACCTGTCACAGATTGCTACCTGTACTAGTCATCTGCACGATCGGACCGATAAGACGAGTAAAGATGTTTCTACTCACTTGGAGGTGTGCGCGTCGTACACGAACACTCGGTTGGTGGTCGCACAGGGCGGAGGTTCGGTCCCCGGAGCGGATGGCGTCATCTCCTCGCCCCACACGCGCAGGAACACCGACCTGTTCCCGCGCGCCTCCATCAAGAATGGAGTCTCTCCGCATTCTGATATCCTATTGCTGGGGTAAAAAAATTGAACAGTTTTACAGGCGCAATTTTTTTTTTATTGCCATTGTAGGCAGACGTGCATACAGCCCACCTGATGGTAAGTGGTCACCGTCGCTCATGGACGCCAGCAATGCCAGGGGCAGAGCCAAACCGCTGCTATGCTCTAGCTATTCTAATTTTCATATCAGCACACATAGTTTCATTCCAGTAGAGAGCGTCAAGCTGGGGTCCTCGGTTTTTTTTTTATTGCTTAGATGAGTGGACGAGCTCACAGCCCACCTGGTGTTAAGTTGTTACTGGAGCCCATAGACATCTACAACGTAAATGCGCCACCCACCTTGAGATATAAGTTCTAAGGTCTCAATTATAATTACAACGGCTGCCCCACCCTTCAAACCGAAACGCATTACTGCTTCACGGCAGAAATAGGCAGGGTGGTGGTACCCACCCGCGCGGACTCACAAGAGGTCCTACCACCATTAATTACGCAAATTATAATTTTGCGGGTTACATTTTTATTACACGATGTTATTACTTCACCGTGGAAATCAATCGTGAACATTGGTTGAGTACGTATTTCATTAGAAAAATTGGTACCCGCCTGCGGGATTCGAACACCGGTGCATCGCTCAACACGAATGCACCGGACGTCTTATCCGTTAGACCACGACGACTAAGGCACAGGCTTGAGATGTGTCCATGATGATATTCCAAAGAGGCCGGCCTCCAATCCGTATTCTTTTTTAATTAGTCGCGGAACAAACTACCTAATTTTATTAATAAGGTCCTGTGCTCCTAAAAAAAAAGGAAAGTGTGGTTTTATGAAAACACGGTAAAAGTGCAACTTTTTTTCACAATAAAGACATTTAACAAATCTGACAAACAACATTTACATTAAACACTGACAAAAACAAACAAAATAGCGTGGAGCACTGGCACTGGCTGCGAACTATAGGCGCCGCCATATTGGCCTTGGCTGTACTGACGAGCGCCTTTCACTATATCCCTACTCCGCGGCCGACCGTCACTTGACATGCAACACACAGACGAAAAAGTTTGAAATTAAACAATCCAAACCTATAAGGAAAGGCGAGCCGGAAATGCGTTCCGGGGGGAGCGAGGCGGCGCCTGGCCGCACAGAGGCGCGGCTGCTCGCGCGACCATGAGCCCCGGAAGTGCACGTGGCGGTGGTCCTCAGCCGCCCGCAGTGAGCGGGACACCAGCTCCAGCTCCAGCGCGCCGCCGCTCGCCTCGAACCGGAGCGGCGCGCTGCTGTTGTCACATATGCACCCGACCGGCACCTGCCGATACTTCCTTCTATTACTTCACACTCTAGCCGAGCAGATACATTGTTGATGTCGACGGGCGATGGTCACCATATTTTCCAAACGTACCATTTGACACAAGCTTATACCGGTGAAATAAAAGAGACCATTAGAGATTTTAATTGAGATGTTTATTGATAATTCATAAGTTCAAATTTTATTAACTGACTTTAATATACACAATCCGTACAAATATTCTATACAAAAATTTTAAAGGTGAATATTAAATATTAATTACTAAATGTTAATGTTAAATATTGCGGTCGAGAGGACCGCACCCGACTTGCGGAAATAGGTTCTTGAACGACTATTATTGTTTTTATTCAAGTACAGTTTTAAACTAATGCGCTGTGTGCATTATTGCTTACTAAGATGTTCGGTCTAATAAGACTAAAATATTTGATAAGATAACTTGCAACTTACTCTGTAACCGGGCCACGGGGATTCAAATATACGCAGATGTGGAACACGCAAAGGCACATCCTCGTCCCCGTCGAAATCAGTGGGCCCTCCGTCCTCCGCCTCGGTCTCCCCATCATGAGATTCTATCTGGTCCGGCACGCAGTTCGGTCGACCGGTGACCGGATCAGGCCGCGTCGCGCATCGAGGCTCTCGACCGAATGTGGCCGCCTGCAAGTCGAGCACCACACGAGAACCCTCCCCATCGAATCTATACACGCAACGCAAGCGTCGCGCTCCACCACGACCGAACCAAAGTGCGTTCCGCGGAGAGGAAAAAGATCCCGGCGCGGTCAACCTCCTCGCGCATTCCTCCGGGGCGGGCCGGGCTCGTCTGCCGTCGTCCGGCAGCGGGAGACCCTCGAGACGTGCGTCCACGAATTCATAGTGGAGAGAGAAGGTGAGCGGGTGCGTGGCCGTGCCGGGGCGCGAGGTGAGCGCCAGCGCCAGCAGCGATGCGGCGGACACGTAGCCATCGGGCGGCGCGCAGGGGCGGGGGGCGCGGGTGGCGTTGGCGAGCGAGGCGCGCGCGCACAGCGAGGGCGGCGCGTCGCAGTAGTGGCCCAGGGAGCGCGCACCCGCCTCGCCCTCGCCGCCGCCGTCCCACACGCGCAGCTCCACGGCGCACGCGGCACGCAGCGCCACCGCACTCGTGCTGCTCTCCTCTTCGCGCTCGTTGCTCTCGACGCGTCGCGCCTCCACCAGCGAATACTGCGTGAAACTCGAGAAATAGATCCAAACGAGATCACCTGTATAACAAAAATAAATTCGTACATAACCCTCGTATTATTTCTCACCCCCACAAAGATTCTCATAATTAACGCCCCCGCAACTGGTGTACGGATTCCAACACTCATATAAATATTGGCCTATCCATTAAGTACATGTATTTTCTACATGGATACCAAGTTTCAAGTCAATCGCATGCATGGTTCAGTAATTATAATGAAAAATCCGTAAAAACCACTGTAGATTTATATATTAGTATAGATTTAGTCAAAAGGGTATCAGGAATGGATGATTTGTTTATAATTCCAAACTCTTTTTTGCTGTTGTTGTTGTTATTAGATTGACATCTTTGTTTTCCATTTTTGGGCGGAGTTTGCATCTGTTATTTAGATTGAATACAGTGCTGTTTTTTTTTTAGTTATATCATATGTAAATGAAGCTCTCTTGGCCCTTCATTACATTTAAATTTCCCGCGCACTAGCTTCGACTATCATAATAGTATTTATTATCTATGGTGGAAGTAGAAATAAGTTAATAAAATAATATAAAATAAAGAAATCTTTGCTGAGCAACAACATGTTTTTTTGTTTCATTAAACAACACATTACACATATCTAATTTGTATTGCGAATTTCGTAATTTACAAAAACATCGAACAAAAGTTTGTTTTATTAAATTTTGGATCGCCATTAGAATTTTATATTTGGAGTCACTGAAAATTACATGCAGCTGAAGTTAGCATCCCAAAAGTGAAGGGAATAGTAACTGAAAATCCTCATTCAGGGTTGAGTGAGATAGCCGCCGATCTTTCTGTGTACTCAGCAATCGATCCGTATTATTTTAAAATAATCATTTGGATATGAAACATATTGCAGCTCGGCTACTCTCAAAAAACCTGTATTTTCTGCAATTCGAAAACATAATCGCATAAGAGTCGTTGAGGACATTCTAGAACGAGTCCATTCTGACCCAACATTCGTGAAACGTATTGTTACTGAAGACGAGACGTAAGTCGATCAAACCCCAAACTCATACTGATTTTTCAGTATGAGTTTGACAGTTGCTTTCTTTGACAGTTGCCATGTTGTGCACACGCAGCTGTTGCCGGAAGGTCAAATCACTACATAGTATAAAACAAAGTCGCTTTCTCTGTCCCTATATCCCTATGTATGCTTAAATCTTTAAAACTACGCAACGGATTTTGACGCGTTTTTTTTAATAGATAGAGTGATTGAAGAAGAAGGTTTGTATGTATAATAATATCCATTAAATAGTGAAGAAATCAATAATAAATCACAGTTTCCGAAGCGAAGCGAGGGCGGGTCGCTAGTAGTAAATAAAGCATATTAATTGAGTGTTATGCGGCGTGAGAGCAAATTTGACAAAAAGGAAATAAATATTCTTGTATTTTGCATCACGATAATGCGCCTTCGCACAAGGCCATCATTATGAATATAGTTTTGACCAAAACTCAAAAATTGCCATCGAGCAACCACTCTATTCTTCAGATATGGGTCCAGACGATTTTTTTTTTTCTAAACTCAAATTACTACTTCGTGGTACATATATTCATTCGGTAGAAGACATAAAGGCGTATTTGTGACGAGAACTGAACTCGATTCCGAAAAAAAGCCTCTAAAATTCTTTTGATGATTAACTAGATTATTCATAAACATAAGTGTGTTGCTTCTGAAGGAGCACACTATGTATGAATGTGGTGAAATAAATTTGAATGAATAACAAACATTTTGTGTCTTATTGACACAGCAGAAAGAACTGACCTGGTCGCCCGTGAAAAGTCCAAGTACACGTGGTATTCGGCGGCAAGGTGTGTGCAGGGGCCCGCAGTCGGCCTCGGCGGCCACGCCCCCCCGGACCTGCCGTCGAATTCGTTTCTTCCTCCGAAGAGGATGCTTTCACGTGAAATTCACAACGTCTGGACTCCCTAAATTTTGAACATTCCCATTTAATTACCTTATTGCGGTTTGAAACATAATGAAACCGCTACGATAGACAATAATGTATACTAGAGACAAATAACCTTACCAATATTAACCTATTCTCAATTTGACCACAGACTAACAGAGTAACAAAAGTTTGACAATAAACATAGAGTATTCATATGTGTGTGTGTCAAATACACGGTAGTGTGTGTAACGTTTTTTTATTGATTTAATGTACTATTAATGCCTTATTTAAAAAAAAAATACCATTCTGCACTTCTTCGCTATATTCTCTATAAGTGTGGGAAATTTCATACTCTTCCGTCCGCGCAATTTTCGTAAAAAGGGGTACAAAGTTTTTGCTTTACGTATTAATATATAGATACTATATTATTATTATTTTTCTCACCTGGCGTAGTCGAGTGAATCAGAATCGGCAAATACGACGTCTACGTCCAGTTCGAATCCTCTGAGTGGGGCGGCCGGTGCGGCGGGTCGCAGTGGAGCGCTGAACGGCGACGAGTGGAAAGCGACCAGCATCTCTGGACCCCGCGAGGTGACACGCGGCAACCAGTCCCCGCCGCAGTACTCCACCAGCACGGGGTCGTCCGTAGTAGCGCCGTCGTAGAAGATGAGTCTGTCCCGCTCCCCGGTACATTCGCGCCACGCCCTCACCGCTCGGCCGGTCTTGTTGAGACTGTCACAAGGTTAGTTCTTTGTTAATATTACGAGTGAATCCGCGGGACCGGGCGTTCGTCCTGAATGAGCTTCACCCACCTCGCCATCGATATCGACCGTTTGATTTGCATTTTGTGGGAGTACTCCTGTCGAACAGAAATCATCGCGTGTTTGCACGTTGGGATGTCTTTTTGTCGGAGGCTCCAGTAGCAGGTAACGTTTCTGATGGATGCAAGATATTACAGATTATATTATAATTTTATATGTCGCCGGGTATAGAAACATTTAAAAAAAAGATTATTATATATGTACCTGGGGTACATGCCAGGATAGTTAGGACTTTGTAGTCGGCACGCCTTGCGGTGACATTCCTCGTAGGTGCGCGTGCAGTACGTTCCTGGAGATACGGCACCGCGCTCCAGTGGAGCTTCCAGAGCACCGAACCGAACCACCGCCTCGCGCTGCGCCAGGAACTTGTACCGCAATCGAAAGCCGAACGCCTCGCCGAGCCGCACCCGGAACAACTTGACCGAGACGGTGACCGTCGCCGTCTCGCTGTAGTAGAGGGCGGCGCCGTCCGCCTCGCCGCACCACGAGCCGCCGGTGAAGGGGCGCCCGAGCTCCGACACCTGCATGTAGCCGTCGGGGCAGCCGTCCAGCGCGGCGGGCTCGTAGCGCCCGACGCGGAATTCGTCGAAAGCCAGCTGCACGAGGTCGCCGTGTGCTCCGCCGCCCGCCGTGAACGTGAGGTGGCACAGGAAGGGAGCGCGCGGGGGCCCTCGGACGGCCAGCGAATACGCGACGCCGGCGCGACCGTAGTAGGTGCGGTTGCAGGGTGTACAGTGCGGTGGCTCGTCGCTGCCGTCCGCGCACTGCGGCTCGCCGTCGCAGTACGCGTCCAGACGGACGCAGGGGCCGGCGCGGCAAGCGAACTCCGCCACGCCGCAGCCACCCGCGGCGCCGCGCCACCCGGCCGCAGCCCAGAGCCCGCCAGCCCACACGCACACCCACCACGCCGCTGCCATGCTTCCACTGCGCGCCGCACCTCACGAACCGCTCCTCATCGTGCCGTCCGTGGACCCGACACCTCCGCAACGCTACCACAAGTACCATTTCCAGATTACTAAATCATAAAATTGTGATGCACAAAGCTTAAGTTTGTAGGCAATTTGAACTTGCACTGGTACTCGGAGTTTGTGAATCCCTGCCCAAGATCTTTATATTTTTAAGTAAAATCCTTAAGAATTTATTTAGTAGGGCATAGGATGCTACGTTTGTCAAACGAAGAAGATATTTAAATACCAGATCGTCAAAGCTTTGTTATTAAAACGATATCACCATGTGCAATATGAAAATTATTAAAATGTAATTTGGAATCCTTGTTATTCTTGGTTGATGCTTATCTTATGTTTGATAATTTTATTTTATAACTAACTGATCGGGCAGACTTCGTAGTGCCTCAATCTATAAATAAAAGACCAAAACTTTTGAATAAAATAAACTTAAAACAAAAACAAGGAAAAACAAAATTGTTGTTTTTAGTTAATTCTGAGCAATTTCATATTTATCTACCTTTTAAACCTTCTCTGGACTTCCACAAATAATTCAAGACCAAAATTCGCCAAATCGGTCCAGCCGTTCTCGAGTTTTAGCGAGACTAACGAACAGCAATTCATTTTTTTATACATTGATTAATCCTAACGTTTTGAATACTTTACAATTGTCAGTGGTTTGATAATCTTGTAGTTTGAAATCCAGTAATAATTTCACACTGTTATTTTATGAATGATACGACCTAAGCAACAAAATATATTGAACCCGTACTGCAGCAAACAAACTGCTAGCCTATCATTGGTTACCACAGCCCATAGCGAGAGCTATGATTGGCTACCATCACCTACTGTCACGTGCTCTGTCCGACTGTCCACCTAAACGACCTAACATCCACAACAGCAGATGTAAAGGGTGTCCCAAAAAAAACGCGAGAATTGAAATAGAAATCACAGTTGTTAGTCTTTTCAACTGAACTGACTTAACTAAGTCAATCAATAGTTTTCGCAGGGCATGCGATGTAAAGAATATTTTAGGTAATTTTTTTACACCTTGGGTTACATTATTTGAGTCTTAGTAAAGATACCTAATTTTTTTCACTAAATATTATATCCTATGTCACTCTGGAAGAGAGTGGCTTCCAAACAATGAAAGAATTTTTCAAATCGGTTCAGTAGTTTCAGAGCCTATTCAATACAAACAAACAAACAAATCTTTCCTCTTTATAATACCTATATTAGTATAGATTGACTTTAGCTCTAAGTTTAGTTGGAATAATCATTAATCTCGTAAATTAGAAACCATATTCTGCGGTATTTGTTATTCATTAGGAATCTAGTTAATAATGAAAACTGCTGAGTGCAAAATGTTGGTTTCTTAGAAGGGGTAAAAATAGGAAGGTGTGTTTTAATTTATCACAAATCATTTATTTTGTATAGCTGTTGACTTGAGTTTCACATATCTGAGCCAAAAAACTGTTATCGTTTGATTAAGTATTTACATTTTTTGTTTATCGAAATTTTTATGGGTCTGAATTAGGATTAGAAAAACTCGAGTAGTTTTCCTATTACGGTGGTAGGTAACTCTGTGTTAGGTTCTATGATCTCCTATTACTTAATGCTCCATTTTTACTAAACCTAAGCTGTCAGCTATCGAATTGTTCTTTTTTAGGCTCGCCAACACTTTACTGCACAAATGGCGATAAATTCAAATCTTGCGTTAGCTTTGGGACACCCTTTATAGCAGCGGTCGGGGAACTTTTTAATTATTACCCCAAAATATTTTTGTGTAAGTTGATATTACCCCATGGCGAAGAGCAAAAAAAAACGAAATCGCTTCTTTTTAGCATCTTTCATATTAAAGACTTACCTTATGATAATTTTGAAAAGAAAACAATAACTAAAAATTTAACGATTCTAAAGAAGTTTCATTTCACTATATATTTTCACTAGAAGTTTCACTTCAATTTTTACTCACAAAAGTTTCATTTTTACCCCCCAAATCTTCATTTTACCCCATTTGGGGTAATTTACCCCGGTTCCCCGACCGCTGCTTTATAGTCATGCGGGTTTGATCGTTAGTTAAGTATTTAATGCGTAGAAAATTTGGCATCCCCCAAGGTTTGAAAGGCGGCTTAATTGCATAATACGAATACACCAGTATTAGTTCAATGGCGCACTTCCAGACCGTCCGCGTGCTATAAGAGGTTAATATTTCAGGCAACAAAACCCATAGAAAACCGAAGACCCTTAACATCGAACTATTAGTCACAGTTTACTGGTGGTAGGACCTCTTGGGAGTCCACACGGGTAGGTGCGGAAAGAGACTTGGTGGTAGGCAGAAACAGTGCAAATTAAATTCAAGGAAAGAAAAAAGATGCCTTCAACACCTGTCAGTTCACTCAAACTTCTGAAGACCAAGAACTATACTAATATTATAAAGCTGAAGAGTTTGTTTGTTTGAACGCGTAAATCTCAGGAACTACTGGTCCGATTTGAAAAATTATTGCAGTGTTAGATAGCCCATTTAGTGAGAAAGGCTGTAGGCTATATAACATCACGCTAAGGTCAATACAAACGGAGCACCAATAAATGATGTTTCAAAATAGAGTTTTTTTTTTCTTTTTGAGATTTTTCGCTACGTCCGCTGCGGAAACGGTTAAAGTTTCGCTAAAGTAATGTATGAGAGAATTGTTCCCCTTTACAAGATCTAAAAAAAAGGATGCGACAGCATATGTCTATATGTTAAGGTTGGCTCACTACAACGTTTTTTATGCTAACCAAATTTGTTCTAAAATAAAGCATTATTTGTAAAGGTGTTTCTATAAAGATGATATTAATCCTTATCCAAATAAAAACGTTATTCATTACAACATTGAAACACCCAAATCACTTCGAAATAGGCATTGACAATTATAGATTTTTCTGGATTTCGCCAGGATCCCATCATCATATGATTACAAGACCATCCGGGAAGTCTACCTTTTCGAACAAAAAAAAAGAAAAAAGAATTATCAGAATCGGTCCAAGCATTCTCGAGAAATCGGTGAATATACTTGATAACTTTCGAACTAAAATCGATAATTGATAAATGAAGAGGCGGGTAAAATTTAGCGTTACGCCAAAGTAACTATTCCACGCGGACGAAGTTGCGGGCAAAAGCTAGTAAATTAATAAAGAAGGAGACTAAGAAAATAATAGCAGTGGAGTGCGCAAATTCTCAAAAGAACATGTGCAAGCAATTAGAAACCAGCGAAGGATTTTTTTTATTGCTTAGATGGGTGGGAGAGCTCACAGCCCACCTGGTGTTAAGTGGTTACGGGAGCCCATAGACATCCACAATGTAAATGCGCCACCTATCTTGAGATATAAGTTCTAAGGTCTCAAGTATAGTTACAACGGCTGCCCTACCCTTCAAACCGAAACGCATTACTGCTTCACGGTAGAAGTAGGCAGGGTGGTAGTACCTACCCGCGCGGACTCACAAGAGGTTCTACCACCAGTAAAAGATGGTTCAGTACTGGGTCCCTTCCTGCCATGCTTGGACTCACTTACTGAAGTGGCGCAGTCCTCAGCCTCGCGAACTTTCATGTGGGCAGACGACATCGCTATCTGCACCGAGAGCTGCACAGAATTACTAGAACTACTTCTACTACGTCTGGAAACAGCAGCTACAGACCGCCGGCCAAGTATCGCGTGTAGCTAATACCCAGTGCATGTAATTCAAGGAGCCAGACCCCGGGTGACAACGGTTCGATTTCCGTTGACGATCAACTTGTAATTACGTGTGATATGATACGCAGATCTGGGAACTAAAAATTCAATATTCAACACAGAATAACCGTAGCGTGGCTAAAGTGGCGAGAAGTAAGTGGTTACCATTCTATTGCTGTGAAATTGTTCATAGATGACCTCAAATAATTTATTCCCAATAGCTTGATGACAATACTTAAAAAAACCAACATTTGTAGTAGAGCCATTGGGATGAAATTTAAGGTTGATAAATATCCGTACAGAGAGCTAAAGTTGTAAACCCAAATTACTTACAACTTAATGATGGCGTTGTGCTCAAATCTCTTTCTGAATCGGAGACCTACAGATACGGAACAATCGTTTAGAGATCAGTACTTCTTTCGTTTAGAGATAAAGGTTTTAAAAAGCCATTTATCACGCGGAAACAAGATCCGACCGCTTATTGGGTATGTCACGCCTATATTTTTAACATATTAAGGTCGACACAATCAGAGTCGGACGCACTGGACAGATAAGTCAGGCGATTGTTAACGGCATACAGATTGCGACATCTGCGTTCATCTGTGATGAGGTTGCATATTCCTCGTAAATGTGGGAGTCGTGGTATGTTGAATGCCAGGGATCTACGTTACCGAGTGATATACAACCTTAGGGAATATTTCCTTAAGGTAAACGCGAATATGCATCGGGATGTAATTGCAGTCGATAAAGAACTCGGTCCACTATCCTCGGCTAACGGGAATCAGAAGAGGCCGAAGGTGATGAGTATTTAGAATTCATGTAGAATTAATAGACAGTGAGGTCAAACGCAACCTCCTTTCCCTAGGACGCGTTACCAACCGTCGCCCCGATGGAAGTTAAAGACCTGATCAAAGACCTACGTCCTCGTAAGGCTCCGGGTCCCGACGGTACAGCTAACCGCGATATTAAACTTCTACCTGCCTGATGTAAGCTTCTTAGTTGAAATTATCAGCCATAAGTTGACGTAATTGTCAATTTGTTTTATTCGTTATTTGTCAATGTACCTAATGTAATCAAATGATGATGTTGTTGGTATCTATTTTCAATGCCGCTATGACATTAGATATATCTTTCCCGCGGTGTGGAAGGAAACGGAAGGTTTCGGCATATATAAACCCTGTAAACCCCATATTCTACTGACAAGCTACCGCCTGATTAGTCTCCTCATGTCTCTTGGCAAACTGTACGAGCGTCTGCTCTAC